GTTAAGAGTCTTTCGATATAGAAGCAAGTCAGCTCTGTGGAGATGAACGTTTCTGTGCCTGCAGGAACAACCGGGGTCCTTTCGCCTCACCGCTAATGCAGTCACACTGTGTGTGTGTGTGTGTGTGTATTATAGCATTTATTAAACGTACTCCTCTATCCGCCCCAAACAGCCAGAATATAGCAAGCAAGCAATAGACAGTTCATTACTGCGGTAAAGTGAGCTGCCGAGTGTGAAACCGTGGTAAAGTGAGCCGCAGTGTGAATGTCGTTGCACCTACAGTAGGGTTATTATGGTAAGTGTGGTCTCTGAGCGAGGCGAAGGTCGTGATCAAGATACATTTTATGAAAGTTACTACATCATAAAAGAATAATAATTAGAAATACAATGATAAATACAGTAATAGAAAAAGAAACATTTACATGTGCAACATTCACTTTTGTCTGTTATTTTCTGAACATAAATAAGCACTATAGTATTACTACTACTATTACTAATAATAATAATAATCTCAAATCAGAGATTTAAAAGACACATGTATTTATTATATTTTCCCTCTTTAAAGAAACTGCATCTTGATTATGTACTGTTGGTGATCTGAACTGTCCCTTTTACTTTTCTCAGAAAATGTACAGTAAAAAAGAACCACACCTCCCATAAGTACAATGGGGGTCATCCATAATAAGATTACATTGCAAGTTTTATCTAACCTACTAAAGAACAGGAAATATGATCATTCATATATAAGGAAATTATATTTATAATGAAAATTGAGCCAACTTTACATTTATTTTTTTCACTATACAGTAAAATTAGTCCACTCAAGGACATGAGATATGACCATTCAAATATGAGGAAATTATGTTTTTCATAATATATGCATATAGTAATACTAATGGTCCAAAATTATGTGAAATTTAATTATTTCTGTTTTACTTTGTATTGAAAAACAACATTTTGTTAGGGGCATAAACACATAAATCACATATATGCGCCTTAGTCTTACACAAACTGAGGAACAACGCTACAATTGAATCTGCTATGACGCACATAACGCACATTAATACAGACTGGCGTTGCATGCTTGATGGTGTGCACAACAGGGGGAAATACTGCCAGTCTTTCATTATTTGATGATTTTTTACTTACAAATGCAATATATTTTATTCTTGTACCTTACTTTATTTTGTCGACATTTCACAGCTTAAAGTTGAATCCTTTGAATTCATACTTTGTCGGGTCTGTCCTCAAAATGACGAACAAACATCTTTTAAAATGCCTGTTTTCTGTTCTCAGATTGATAGGGACTATACTGAATGTTGACTTACAAACTACAAACAGTCTGAACTAATCTTTGCACTTACTGAAACATTTGTTTTTTTTTACTGCAGCTTGCAAGAGCCTGACATTCAAAAAAAGGGTGTTTGCCAAATTCTTTTTAATGAACCTAATAAACTCAGAAGTCTAGAAGTGTTTCTACTCATTAAGTGAATGGTATTGCAAATTAAAAAAGCATAATTGAATATGCAAGCTTTACAACATGAAGATTCTTTTATATAATTATGTTTTAAGCATACTGAATATTACTCAAAATATACTGTAAATTTAGTCAGTTGTGTATTAAAATAAGTTATTAAGATAACACCTTCTCTCACCGATGTTACATTGACTGAAGGATCAACAATATTTTTCAGCTTCCCCTTTTGAAATCAACCCCTAGTCTTTACCAACATAATACACACAATACTATTTTATACAGTATCATCGTGTCTATATTAATTACATATAATGTAGTTATATAATATGTGTTCATCCAATGAAGTTGCAGGCTGTGACAGGAGACTTTGGCCAATTGCAGGTCTGTAAAACCGTTGATTGTTCATTCTCAGGTCATCTAATCCCAACTGACCTAAGAATGAGACCCTCCAGAATCACTTCCTGCACCTTTAAGATAACACCGCCTCCCTTTCCTTCACTGATGTTTCATTGAGTTGGCTAACCTCCAAAAGCTTAACAACATTCCTCACCTTTCCCCTTGTGAAAGCAAACCCCATCTATACTTAACCATCATAATGCACACAATAGTACTTTATTTATTATCATCTGCAGGTGCAGATCTACATGCTCCAGTATAAAACAGCTAATGCCCTGGCAACTGAGCAGGCTTCAAGTTTACTTCCTGTCAACAGCATTTCTGTGTGTCATCTGTCAAGTACAGGAAAGGGCGTAGCTTTGGTTTCCGAAGTGTATGTGTGTGTGCGTTTGTGTGGGGGAGGGGTGCTAATAATGAGCAAATGGATATGCAAACCTCTGTCTTGTTAATGTACAAACCCTACTTAAAATCTTTCTTGGCTTCCTTAATAAACACGCCTACCTATCTTATCTAATGTTGAAGTTTTTTGGCTTTGTGACTTACCTTGTCTTTGACTGGTGTTAAGTTCTGGCTTCAATAAGGAGAATATTAACTATGAATGAAAATATAGATTAAATGTTGTAGCCTAAAGGTTAGAGATGCAAGTTTGTGACTGGCTCGGTGTCCAGCAGATCAGGTTGTGGTTGTACTGGATAGCTTGCAGGTAGTCATGTGTAACAGTGTGAATGTGATTAGAGTTTCTGCAAAAGAGAGACATCCTCTCAGTGAACCTTTCCTGAATAAATAAAGGTTAAAAAAAAAAACATCAGTAAGGTAGGCCAGCCTGTATGTAACCTGATACTCTCTTTTTTGCTCTTTATGTTTAAGGCTGTGAGAGGACAGTAATAACCGAAGACACTCAAATGAGCTCATCAATATTGTTATCAACTCAGATTTAGACTATGGCTGGACAGTTAGAACAGACAGAATATTCAGAGAAACCAAACTAAATCAATGAAAGTGAAATGAGCATGTCCTCCCATTCATTGTGAAAACCCAATCCCAATCTGTCTTTTGAGTCTTGTCTAGTACTAACTAACTGTAGGAGGAGCAAGTGACAGAAGTGGCAGGAGAGAAATAGTATCAGAATGACAGGCAGAAATACAGAACAATCACAGCATGGTGAGTTTTGATAGTTATAATTCATGCTACAGTGGAAACCCTTCTTCAACACTGTAAGTTGATTTTCCTACAATTCTCATAAGATTATATTGTAAAATAATAAAACAAAAGTGTGCTCACTTAAGAGAAGCACACTCATGTGGACTTACTTTTATTCATGAGCCATTTTTGTGGTTATTATGTCATAATGAATGTTTACTTACAAACACAATATTTCATCCTTGTACCTACTCCATTCAAAAATGATTTGTAGACAGTTAACAGCTGTTCACATTCTAAGCTGAATTTTGGTTGCCGACTCGAATGAGGAAGTCAAACGGCTTAGCAGTCAGTCAGGGCAAGGTGTGGCACCCAGTTTGCATTAACAAGACGCATCTAAAAACATGAAATCATTAACATCAGCAACTCGAGTGTTCACTCGAATGTATTTGTGTCCAAACTGAATTACTACTCAACCTGTTGTGACTTTCCCAGCAAAAACAGTAAATAAAGGAGAGTTTTCAAGCTGTATAAATAATTTAGCATTCCTGTACATGCTGGCACTTATCTGAGGGGTTGGGGGATCACAGCCTTGGTAATAAATTAACCCTCTATTTACTATGTGTAGTCACGTAGATCGTTTCTTATTGAGTTGTCCTCTGGTTTGAATTCTCCACCGTCTGTACCCACTTTATGGTAAATGGAATTTGGTTTAAGCTTGCGGTCCCATTAAAGAAGTCAAATCATACATCTGTAGGTGCTAATACATTACCAGCAATACGTAAAAAAGTTTAAAAAACTTTTATATGATACCAAAAAAAACGTAGAAATGCTTCTCCCTTTGAGTGATGGGTCTCAGTTGACATGTTTCAGCCCATTGAATCTTTGCTGCAATATCATAGGGTAGTTTCGGAGTGTTGCAGTCTATTTGATACAATTGTTGCAATTATGGACTTCTGTGCGGTAAAATGGTGAAGTCTCACTCTTGCTCTCGCACTCACAGAAAGAGCACCCATTTGGCTATTATTTATTTACCTCCATCCCAGGCGTTGGCTCATTGGAAATCTGTGTTTATCACCAATAGTTAGAAGTCAGTCCCGGTCCAGTACGTAACTCTACTTTTAGTGTGATGTGTGAGTGCCAGCAGTGCATATACACTGAAAATTTACTTTATAGTGAAGTAGTAGACAGCTTGTGTCCAGCAGGAAAAATTTAGAAATTAACAACATTTACATATTCAAAGATTCTGGATCTTTATTGAGGTAGAAGGAAATTATATATAATGTGGAAATTATACTTTTTTTTGTGTGGAAAAAAAACCATCATACATAGATATATGACTTAATATGTGTCTGGATGGGATTTTTGAAATTCCACCAAATGTTGTAACAGTAATATCATAATTTTATCTTTTTTACAGATACCCTGAAGCAAAGAAATGAATATCTCCAGAGTGACAGCTCTACCAAGAGAAACACATCCTCTCATAAAGTGTATAGTTGACAACAACTTCGAGACACTCATAAAATTACTAAATAACAAAAACATTAATGGACTTTACCCATGCAAAGAGTGGAATGACAATATTACCCCACTCATTGCGGCTGTTTTATATAACAACTGGAATATTTTTATTTACCTTTTGCACCAGGGTGCAGATCAAAACAGTGCTTCCCAAAATGACTTAACACCTTTGCATTATGTCTCACTATCCAACGCACCACTTTTCTTTGTGGTTAAACTGCTTGAAGCAAAAGCTAATCCAGATGGATGGAATGCTGTTGGACTACAGCGGTTCACACCTCTTCAAACTGCTGCCATCCATGACAGGGACGATGTCATGAAAGAGCTCATCTCTGCTGGTGCACTGGTAACATTGTTACCAATCACTGATACTGAACATATGATTCACAATAAAAAAATATCTTTGATGATTCATAACCTTGCATTGAAAGGAGATGAATTATGCTCCAAAGTCAAATATTTCCTGGATATGGAACTTGCTCTACAAGGGAAACCATCTGAAGAAGTGTTCAAGACCTTTGATCTTCACATGCTGCAGGAGCATCCTCAGAACTATTTGACCATAATTGAAACACTTTTTAATGTAACTGGGCCAGATGCAGACAAATTTCGCAGGAGAAGTATTAAATGGCTGAAGAACACTGAAAATGTGAACACCTACATTGCAGGAGCAGTCAGTCGCCTTCCAAACATCCCTGCAATACATGTAAAGAAGGCCATTGATAGTTTACATGCAGTTATCTGCACAATAGAAGACATACCAAATGAGCAAGCTCTAGCTATAACCCCCCAACTACTGGACTGGCTTTGCTCAGAGGTAAGGCCTGATATATGGGAAGCTGTTGTANNAAAGACACAGACGGCTGGGATCCCGATTTGGTTGAGAAGTTGTGCAAAACAGTTGCTCCTTTTGTAAAGGACCGACACTCTTCTGACATTAGGGTCTTCACATACGGCGTACTAGCAAACTTACTTTCAAATAACCATGCGGTTGACACCTTTACATCAGTGGGGATAAGTTCAGTGCCTGAGGACATATTGACATCTGCAGATATGAAAATGAATGACAAGCTGAAAGTTGTCCTCAGACGACTGAAAAATCATTTCAGCTCACCGAAGTCGGAATGTGATGACAGTACAGCCTTACCTGGATCCAAGAAAAAGAAGGAAAAGTCAGAAAAGCTAGAAGACACAAAAGTTTTCACTATTGCAACTGATCCAACACCAGCTCCTATTGTGGAGACAACTTCAAATGTTAAGCCATTCCACAACAACACAACACCAAAAATACACAAATGGCTACAGATCAGCAAGAGGTGGAGAGAAAAATTAGAAAAGTTAGATAAACTTCTGAGCACTGATGAAAGTAAAGTAACCAGAATTGGGAGCCATGATTTATGTTGAATGATGCACAATTCCGCATTGCCAAAAGGGAAGTGATGGGTTACTGAGGTTATTTCTGGGTGGCTGAGAGATCTTTGATGGCACTGAGGTTGTATTAAGAGAATGTCTAAATGCAACTATCAGGAGCTGAAGAATGAGGAAGGGTTTCTACGACTTCCAGAGCTTGATCATCCATCCATTGTACGATATGTTGACTTTGCAGAAGATGATAACTTTGGATACCTCGGTCTTCAACTTTGTGAATACACCCTAGAAGAATACATCAGAAATAAAGATGGTGGTCTACTGATAAAGAAACTTGTCAAACAGGTTCTCGACAGTTTAAGGGTGCTTCATTGTCAAAATCCTCCAATTCTCCACCGAGATCTCAAACCACAGAATGTTTTGATCGGTAAGACAAGTTAAAATATCCTGAAATTATGGAATGCATCTGAATCTGAAATTCAAAGTATACAAAAATATTTGAATTTATTCTGTTCAATATATGATTTTGTTTACTTAATCAGTACACCATTTGTCCTGCAGATGTTAATGGGAGGGCAAGATTAGCTGATTTTGGTATAAGTAGACGGTTACCCAGGGGACAAACAACCTATCGCACAGGCAAGGCAGGAACAAAATGCTGGATGGCCAAGGAGACATTGGCAGAAGAAGAAGCTGACATACCATACAAGCCAAACACTGATGTACAGGTCAGTTCTACTGCTACAACAAGTTAACTGATGACTTGGTGAAAAATACTTCCTTAATTGCAAAAATGTTCTGTTCATTTTTAAGGTGGCAGGGATGCTCAGTTATTATATCCTCTCTGGAGGACACCATCCTTTTGGCGACAAACCCTTTGAATGTGAGTACCACATTCACAAAGGGAATTACAGTTTGGACCATGTTCCAGATGTGGTGGCAAAGGATCTCATCGAGTGGATGATCGATGCAGAACCAAAGAACAGACCTAAAGTGGAAGAATGCTTAAGTCATCCCTTCTTCTGGACCACTGAAAAGTGAGGAAGTAACCCTGATTGATTGATTAATTTAGAAATTAAAATCCCTGTCAGCTGATATACTTATTTTCATATCAGCTTTTGGGGTGGCATTGTCAGTTGTCTGGTTGGTCTACGATATTGGTCTAGAGTAAAATATGTCTACCTGTAATTGAAATGGCACACAATCTGCAACAAACATTCATGCTTTTCAAACAATATGAAATGTGTTCATATCTGAACTGATGCCAGGTTCAGACAACACATTTTTTTTGTCCGTTACGATGTCTGTCACTGTGTCAGATTAGACGATTATAAAGGAGTCATACATTTTTGCCGTGACTTGGCAGAGAGACATGACAGACCACATGCCAACTTTCAACACGTGCATGATGTCACAGGAAAGGAAGTGCTAGGGACCACCTTCATGGGACATGGGAAGTCCACTATGGTAAGCTACATGGGACAACAATCAATTGTCTCACCCGATGCCCATTTTCAGTCCAGACACGACCTATATCTGTCAGGTCAGGCTTATTGGGCTGATATCATGTAGTCTTAATAGTGACCACAAAAATTGCCCATAGATGCACCTCTTTTGTCAAATCGTAATGTTTAGCCAAGAAAGGTCTAGTGCCTATGGAGAATGTTTTTTGGTAAAGGTTTCTAAAAAAGCATATATTAAATAAACAATGATGACTAATTTGCGTCGAGACATATGGAATGAACCCCACAACATACTGTTGAGTATGGTATGTTCCAAGGTTATATTTTTAATTATTTGCTTTGTCGAACTTTGCGTTACATATGTCAGTGAGCTTTTGAATGAGATTTTCTTAATCCTGGAACAGACCTGAAAGTTCTAGCTTCACTCAGGCCGCTAGCACTAAGGACCCTTTATAGAGCATTCACATGCAGCATACATGTTTAATCATGTAAGCTACTTTGGCATTTGGAAAAGTCCAAAGCACACCAGGGCTGTCGTGCATAGTTATGGTTACTAAGCTATGATTTGACAGAGGGGTCTAGCGAATGGTCAGTGTCTTAGTATCTGTACCTTTTTTTCAGGCAAGCTGAATACTTGAGAAAGATTGGCAACAGGGAGGAGGTGGCAAAGTGTCGAAATGCTGAGCAGGAGCTGATCTGTTCATTGGAAAAATGTGCTGGGGATGGATCCTTCAAACAGTGGAAAAATAAGGTGACAGCAACTGCAATATAACAATAACTTCTGTATACCTAAATTCCACTTTATGACTAATTACTTTTGGTGTTGCAGTTTCCAACAGAGTTGGTCCAGAAGATGGATGGCAATAAAAAAGCCTACCCTGAGAACACACTGGGATTACTGCGCTTCATACGCAACCTCCATGAGCACTAGTGAGTGAAAATAAAATTAAAAGTTGTGCAGGGCCTTGTCACTAATAATAGTAACAATAATTATACACTTTCATTTTGTTTTTTGATAGTTGTGTGGTTCAGTCTCTTTAAAAGACACATGTTATGTGCTGTAGTGTTGTGTGTGCGGATGCAAGTGGATGGACACTATTTCTCAAATGGCCAACCTTTTATGTAAAGATAAAAACAGTGATTTTTATCACTATGTTGTTGCTGCAGTTTACATTCACCAAGATGCTTAATATTCATGAAACGAAACAAAATTTTACTTGCTTGTTCGAGATCTTTCAATGCACCTAAATCTTTATTAGCAGATTGAGTTTGCTCAGATTCAAAATATATTTCATAATCAGCCAATAGAGGTAGCTACTAGAAACTGAGCAAGTTATCTCTGATACTGACCTCATCTTTGACAATCCTCTAAATAAAGTTTAGTTATTTTTTTTACCCCCATTGAAGCCAAACGTGATTACCAATAATTAGATACCTGTTCATTCGACTGCCAGTCATTTTGTTATCAAATGGTTTAGCAGTAGATAATGCATGACAAACAAAAATCTATATTGAATGCATCATTGATTACATTTACTGTACAAAAGCACACATTGTAGTCATGTGGTCATGGGTGTCATTCACAAACTAGATGACTGTCAAACATTTTTTTGAATACTTTCTTTTTTTGCTCGCAGTGCCAAGGATGCTGCCCGCGTTGATGTGATGAAGATATTTCCTGCTCTCTTTGGATGTGTTTACAAGTTTGCCAAGACCCAAGGATGGAATTTAGAAACCCCGTTGAAGGAAATGTTTAAAAGACCACCACAAGCTTTGTGATGTTGTCCATGAGCCTCTCTTAAGTGAAGTTGACTTTTAAAACATAGGTCATTGTTTGGAACCCTTTTAGCTTCTTTGTTCTATTACTATACATGTCTTAATGGCTTTTCATTTCATTCAGAGGTACAACCATTTCAAAAATAAAGGAGCAATTGAGTGAGTGGCAGTTGAGAAAGTGTATACAATTGTAAAGCAACTAGAGGAGAGAAGTCACAGAGTGCAGTAATGTCTTAGTGTCTTCCTTCATTCCTGACACAAATTCCCTTTCTTATTACATTACATCTGTATTTCTTATTGTTTGCATGTTTAAGACGCTGAAATAGATGAGTAATTTAGAAAAAAATCACAAAATCCTCAAATATAATTTTGTGATGTTTAACCTATTAAGATGACTTGACATATTTATTTTAATTGTAAAATGTATGTAAACCTGTTTTTAGAAATAGATTCTTGTCTTATAAATAAATATCAATCAAATCTTGGTTATTAAATGTTAAAATTGTTCTTGTTATGTTTTTTGTATAGATTATAAATTGAAGTTACACTGTAATGCTAAGTTATTTTAACAAAAGTTAAGTTGTTAAAATGGATTACATCGAAAAGAAACAAACAAAATGTTTTAAGTTCAAGAAGATTCTTGATTAAGCAGCTTTTATGAGTAATCTTAAGTGACACTAACTTAGTTACAGAAACATTCTTCATTAAGTACTTTTTACTAGGTATCTTGTTGTCAGTGTCACTTAAACTTACTGAAGCTACTTGATCAAGAATGTTTTTGAGTTTGTTTTACTTAAATGTTTTGATGTAATCAGTTTCCACATTATTTTGTTAAATTAGTTAAATGACCATATCTAGTTTTACGGTGTACATAAATTAGGACTTAGCTACATAGTGTGCAGTGTAACAATTTATGGTAGAACAGTCTTTTAACATTTATTATGCTCTTTTACCCCTCAACACACAGGCATAACAGATGGTAAGCATGTCACATCTCGCTGTTAAGCATCATGCCACAGCAGAATTATACAAAGTTTGACTGAAGTAGGGATAACATGTTATGGAGGAGACCTCATTCATCAATGTCATCAACTGACATTATTTCAGGCACTGATCTTTTCTACTATAGATCACCATGAGAATTTGTAATTCTGTGTACTACAGCAGTGACCACTTCCATTGTATCTAAGGGAATTATTATTTTTCATAACCAAAATGAATCGCATTTTTTGAGACGTACAAAAAGTTATGAAAGCAGCACAAAATTTGGCAGCAGAGAAAATTTACATGTCCCAAAAGGAAGTCTCCCATTTTAGATTTAACAGCCATTTTTGGCATTTGGTCAGTATAATGTAAAGACCATTGCAGTCAAAAGTTATCAAAATCTTGGGTTTTCGCTAAAAAGGGCGTGTCTGTGGTGTATCACCGAAAATGTACATTTTGCCACGAAACAGGAAGTTGTTATAACTTCAATGCTTTGTCCAATGTCTGATAAGAGTCCTGCCCTGAACACATCTGCACACAGAATGTGGACTGTGAGGGCCCGTTCTCAGCTTTAATTTCCTCTGAAATTCCAAACCACAATTTTCTGTGCTATTTATTAGACGGGATCAGGAATTAGGTTGTACAAATACAATGTTTTTGTTAAACAATGGGCACTGCCCATATGCTGGTGTAGAGATATTAGGTAAAGGTAGAATGTTTGGTGTTTCTCTTCCCTAATCTGTTGACAAAACATGTCTCCATATATTTTTATATTACATTTAACCCCACACCCACCAAACACTCTAAATACACAGACATGGTTTTCACTGAACATCCATACATTTTTTATCAATATGACAATATGCAGTTTGTAACCTTTTTGACACAGTAACTGTACCCTACATTAGATGATGGTGTTATTTGATATTTTATTGTGCATTGCTAGCATCTAACAACATCCAGTCTGAACATGCAGTGGGAGGAGCAAAAAGAGGGGGAAAAAACACTTAGCTCTGAACTTGCTTTATCGACACCAACAAAGATATTGAATGAAGAGATAAGTTTGGAAAGATAACTCAACAAAGACGACCACCATACTTCAAAATTGTAAGTTTCTTTTACTTTCCTTCTAGTCTAAGTCAAGGTAGATCTCTAAACTTAAGAAAGTTGCACCTTAGTTGCTAGCCTGGATGACAAACTTCACTGGGCAAGATGTAGTCAAACATTCACCCACATACATCCAAAATGAAGAGAGTTTTAAGAGTCTCTGGATACAAACTGTAGTGTGTGTAAGTATTTCGATTATTGCAAATGTTTGAATCACTACGCTTTTAAAAACCAGCAACCCTGGCAGCTGTACAACCAGGAAGTTCACACAGGGCTGTGTAACTTTGTTCCCTTTTGCTGCAGGAAATAGGAAATATTCACTAGTGCTATGCCTATAACGTCACAAGTGAAATCTAGCAACGGTTAGCTTGGGAAACTGGTGGAATAAATGCAAATGCAATTGTCTTCAACAGTAAATGCATAAACATTACATCACAGATTTATGATCTCGTGAGACGTGAGCCTGGCAGGATTGGTCTGATACCGTAGCAATTATGTTGATGATGCTTGGGCTCTCATTTAATTTTTTGTAACTGTTACTTAACGGACACTGAAACTGAAAGTTAAGTGATAGTGTTATTAACATGTTATCTGTATTGGTGTGTTCTGAGATCCACAAACCAAAATACATGTATTTGTAAGTTGAGAGAGGGTCGATGGATGTGAATAGGAGTGGCCTGAGCTCAATTTCTTAATAGAGAGCCAACACAAGGTCCTTCACATTAGGTTATGCAAATGAAATACAAATTGATATTAGAACAATACTGCATTTTTAATTCTGATACCAATATTGGTTTTTAGAGGTTTAAAAAAATATATATATAATATTATTTTATTATATAATGTATAAAATATTAGTTTTTACCATAAACACTTAACATAAACCATTTTGACAAGGATCCCTTAAATTTGGCTTTAACAGAAAAGTACACTGAACAGGACATTTTACTGTTATAAAATATATCAGTGCTCTCAAGTGTGCAAACTGTGTGATATATTTTTTATTCATTAAAACAAGTTCTTGCACACCAGAAAGTGTCTGTTTAGACTGTAAAAAGCCAGCACACAGGTAATTACTTGCACTCACTTCATTGAGTTTCAGTCTAATTTCAGTCCTTGAACCTCCATCAGATTAAATTCATAAAGACACTTACATATACGGACATTGGAAATATATTGGCATGGCCAATATATCAGCCACCACCATCACCTTCCAATCTTCATTAACATAATAAACTTACCAAATACTAGTTTAATGTATTTGGACTAAATTAAATATGTTCACTTAAGACCAAACTGTGGCCATACAGACAGAACTGCTTTGTAATAGTCTGAAGTTTTCTATGGCATTAAATGTTTAACCTATTGATTTTGTCTTGCCACAGATACTCTGAAGCAAAGAAATAATTATCACTACACAGATACAAATGGAAGAAAAAGAAACAGATTGCCCTATAGTGCAATGTATAAATAACGACTGCCATGAAATCAAGAAATTACTAAATTGCAGCAACATTCATGAAGTTTATCCCTATGGAAAGTGGAATGACTACATAAACCTACTGACTGCTGCTGTTATAAATCGCCATGAGGAAATGTGTACTGTCCTACTGCAAGAGGGTGCAGACCCAAACAAGGTGTCAAAAAATGGCTTGACTCCTTTGCATTATGTCTCACTATCCAAAGCACCACTTGCTTTTGTGACAAAACTGCTTAAAGCAAAAGCTAATCCAAATGGATGTGGTGTACAGCCATTCACACCACTGCAGACGGCTGCCATCAACGACAGGGACGATGTCATGAAAGAGCTCATCTCTGCTGGAGCACTGGTAACAATTTTTCAAGTCAACGATCCTGAACATATCACTCACAATAAAAAAATCTCTCAGATGATTCATAATCTTGCTTCAAAAGGAGATAAATTATGCTCCAAAATCAGACATTTCCTGGATATGGAAATTGCTGTGCGAGGGGAGCCATCTGACAAAGTGTTCAAAACGTTTGACAGTCACATGCTGCAGGAGCATCCTCAGACCCATCTGACCATGATTGAAGTGCTCTTCAATGTTAATGGGCCAGGTAGTGAAAAATACAGAGTAGGAAGTATCAAATGGCTGAAAAACACTGAAAATATGAACACCTACATTGCAGACGCAGTCAGTCGCCTTCCAAACATCCCTGCGATACATGTAAAGAAGGCCATTGATAGTTTACATGCAGTTATCTGTACAATGGAAGACATATCAAATGAGCAAGCTCTAGCTGTAATCCCCCAACTACTGGACCGGCTTTGCTCAGAAGAGAAACATGATATATTGGAAGCTGTTGTACAAACACTGTATGTGATAACACAGAAATCAAAAGACACAGACGGCTGGGATCCCAACTTTCAGAAGTTATGCAAAATAGTTGCTCCTATGGTAGAGGACCAACACATCACACACAGCATAGACAATATTTTTCCATCAGGGGGGTTGACTTCAGTTCCTGAGGACATAGTGACATCTGCAGATATGAAGATGCTAAAAGATCTGAAAGAAGTGCTCAGACGACTGAAAAATCTCACTTCACCAAACTTGGAATGTGAGTACTGTACAGCCTTACCTGGATCCAAGACAAAGAAGGAAAAGTCACAGAAGCAAGAAGACCCAAATGATGATGAAGTTTTAACTGCTACAACTGATCTAACATCAGCTCCTATTGTGGAGTCAACTTCAAATGTTAAGCCATTCCACTTCAACACAACACCAAAAACACACAAATGGCTACAGATCAGCAAGAGGTGGGAGAGAAAAATAGAGAAGCTTCTGAGCACTGATGACAGTAAAGTAACCAGAATTGGAGCATGATTTATGTGAATGCACATTCCGATTGCACAAAGGAAGTGATGGTACTGAGGTATTTCTGGTCTAAGAGATGATGGCACTGAGGTTGCTATGAAGAGATGTCTAAATGCAACTATCAGACCTGAAGAATGAGGAAGGTTTCTGACGCAGCTTCCAGAGCTTGATCATCCATCTATTATACGATATGTTGACTTTGCAGAAGATGATAACTTTGGATATCTCGGTCTTCAACTTTCTGAATACACCCTGGAAGAATACATCAGAAATAAAGATGGTGGTCTACTGATAAAGAAACTTGTCAAACAGATTCTCAAGAGTTTAAGGGTGCTTCATTGTCAAAATCCTCCAATTCTCCACCGAGATCTCAAACCACAGAATGTTTTGATCGGTAAGACAAGTTAAAATATCCTGAAATTATGGAATTCATGATCTGAAATTCAAAGTATACAAAATATTTAAATTTATTCTGTTCAATATATGATTTTGTTTACTTAATCAGTACACCATTTGTCCTGCAGATGTTATCGGGAGGGTAAGATTAGCTGATTTTGGTATAAGTAGACGGTTACCCATAGGACAAACAACTTTGCACACAGGCAGTGCAGGAACTAAATGTTGGATGGCCAAGGAGACATTAGACGTAAAAGTTAAAACACCATACAAGTGGAGCACTGACATACAGGTTAGTTTTGCTGTTACACACATTTTCTTGATGATTAAGTGAAATATCGTTCAGTAATTAATCTGCTGTGCTAACATTTAAGGTGGCAGGGATGCTCAGTTATTATATCCTCTCTGGAGGACACCATCCTTTTGGCGACAAACCCTATGAATGTGAGTACAACATTCACAAAGGGAAGTACAGTTTGGACCATGTTCCAGATGTGGTGGCAAAGGATCTCATCGAGTGGATGATCGATGCAGAACCAAAGAACAGACCTAAAGTGGAAGAATGCTTGAGTCATCCCTTCTTCTGGACCACTGAAAGGTAGAATCACTTTTATCATGGACAATTATTGGATTAATTCAACTTGTGTTTCGTTCATCTAAATGGTAACATCTGCAGGCTAACATGCTCACAATGACATGGCTAACATGCTTATACTAAGCAGGTTTAATGTTTAACATGGTCACCATCTTTAGCCTGATTATATGAAAAAAATGTTTAAATTGTGTATGTTTTTTCTCAAACACGCACCCAAAATGGATATTTTAATTCCCAGGAGAGTTGAATACTTGAGAAGAGTTGGAAACATAAAGGACGTGGAAAACTGCCGAAATCCTGAACCGCAATTATTGTCTTCGCTGTCAAACAGTGGAAAAATAAGGTGCCTGCAACATGATCATTTTATGCTTTATTGAAGTTTATTCCAAACCCCACTAGTTTGTATTCCTTAATTTCGCTTTATCAATATAATATAATCACAACTAATGTTTGGTATTACAGTTTCCATCAGAGTTGGTGAAGAAAATGGATGGCAAGAAGAAGCCCTACCCTGAAGACATACTGGGATTACTGCGCTTCATACGAAACCTCCATGAGCACTAGTAAGTTCAGCTGTGTTAAAAATGATAAAGGAATGAAGTAAACCTCAACATTATGTTTTCTCACTATTTCTCTCATTGTTCTTTTGGTGAAAGTAATGAAAAGTGTTCACAGTGGAGCTAGGAAGCTCTGGAAAGTGATGTTGATAATGAGTTTTTAATTTTTAACTTTTTACTCCCCTGAGCTGCACAAACAAAATTGAATTTACCTTCATTGTTTTAGGGTGAAGGAAAGAAAGTCAGAAAGGATATTCAGAAGATTTGTACTTGTCTTTGGAACACAGTATTTTGGAAGAATGTTTAATGATTGCATTTATTAAAAGTGTTTTACTGATTTCTTAGTCTGAGTTTAATCCCTCATGTAACATTGACCTACATCACACCTATCGTCATGACCACATCAGTGTTTGTGCTTTCTGCTCCTCTTCTGTTTTTTGTCTTTGTAACAGTTTTATTTTTTATCTGTTTGCAGTCCTGAGGATGCGGCCGAAGTTGATCTGATGTTGATGTTTCCCGATCTCTTTGGATGTGTTTATACTTTTGCCAGCAGCAAAGGGTGGAATTCAAAGTCACCTCTGAAGGAAATGTTTGGAACATTGTTTTCCCGAGTTGTAAAGCCACCCACAAAGAAGGAGAACCTCAGCGTCCCAGTTCAGGAATCTAAACTAATTTCTACTCAGCCAACTGCAAATTAACACCAGGCTTGTCGCTGCAGTCTTTCGAACTAAGCGGTGTCTTTGCTTAGACACAGTGGAGTAGTGCAGGGTATACGCACTGTTAATGACAAAAGGGTGAAGTCAGAGGCCTTCAAATACATTTGATAAAGGGCATGGTTTGCTGTAATTAATGTACATAAGTTGTGAGGGTGTTTTTGTCTGTCAAAAAAATACCAACTAACAAACTCATAAGTCTTAAAATCCATCAACTCATTATGTAATATAATATAATATCAGTTTGTCTGTTGGGTATAAAAAATAAATGTGTAAAATCTGATTTGATATGTTTCTATTTGGGTAATGGGTCAGTATCAGTCTCCTCTCTCAGGTATATTTAATTACTTTGTCAAGCTCACAATGTAATGTGAGATTTATTTAAGACACTGGGATCTTTTTGTTTTTGCCAGATGTTATGGTCATATGATTATTCATACTGAGAGCATTAACTTAACTAATTTCTTGAATAAACTCATTACTGTATGTGCCCCACCCTTATATATCCAAATCATATGTGTGTGTGCTTTTATTGCGAAGGAATAAAAACAACTATGTTCAATTCCCGTTTTGTCATTCCTAATTCCTTTTCAGAGGTGCTCCAGTCTTTTACTTCTGAATAATATGTGATTCCCACTGTTTCATATTTGAATTGTTTTAAATATAAATGAGACTTATCACTCAAAACACATTTTCTTGAACGATCATTTTATTTCCAACGTTGTACCGGAAGTACCGTCTCTTTTTCTTTCTGCTGTCATTCCGCGCGACTTGACAGCTGAGCCAAAAGAAGTGACGCTGCAAGACAAACAAACGGAGGAGAGGCAGCTCGGACGGAGGCAGAGCGAGGGAGCCTGTATCCTGACATATTGTCAAAAATATTTCGGATAATGCAGTCTTCCAGGAGGAGCGAGACTGACTGGCAGGGGCTGGTCAGCGAGGTAAGAGAGCGGCGAAGACCGTGACCAGCTGTTGCAGACACGGACTGATTTTTGCGGGAGCTCCCTCGTCCATATGGAACGAGCTTCGGTCTGTCGGCTTAATAGACAGAGGAGCTGTCTAAAATCACATAGAAAACTCTACTTTCTCGTCTTTGGCTCGATAGGCTAAATAGGGGTACGTTAGCGTGCTATTCTGTCAGGCCGACAGCATCCGTCTCCGAGCCTCTGGGTTGGAAATGCAGTAACGATAACACTCCTGCCCACCTCTTGAACACGTACAGTATGGTGCTGAACGTTAGAGCCCACCTGTGGGGGTGCATGGACTTGTTAACATTGCTAGAATGCATTCATTTAAACTTACTGAGTAACACTCGACCTATGTAGACATATGAAACAGATATGACATATATTTTGGAGGTGCAAAGGCAGTGTAAGCCTATTAACGTTATTAGCACTATTACAGCAGAAATGTGTTCACAAAAAAATCAAATAATTAAAAAACAACACAAAAACACCACATGGAAACTCAACAGTGACACCTTATAGTAATTAAATTATTCCAATCAATAGCTTTTGCCTGCAGTGAGCCACCACACACACATATAGGGATAATTCATCAGAATCACATTTTAATCCAAATAAAAGTATAAAGAATACTAAATAATAATAAAGATATTCTTGCAGCTTTAGGGACTGTTTACGTAGCTATGTGATTTAAAGGGGAACTTCCAACCTGTAGGTGGAGGACAATACTGGTTGATAATCTGATAGCTAGTGATAATCCAAATGTTCTTTATGAAATTTGAATGAAGGCACTTGACTCTACTACAGCACATAAGAGTTATGCTGCAATGATCAAATACAAAAGCAGTTATAATTGGGCTTTATTTTGTTAATCAAATAGTTTAACAACAAGTGGGGATATAACTGTCAGATTCATTTATCATTACAACTCTACATAAGGGATTGGTTGGTTGAACTTGAAACCATACTACAGTCTTTACTACACATTCAGCTCCATGGCAGCAGCTGCCGTTTCATTTGGTTATAGCTGGTCTGACAGCTATCAAGGTTTATTCCTTCTGCTGTGTCTTATCTACACTTTAAACACCCCACTGTGTGTTTTTCCACCTGCAGGCAGCTGGTCAGTTACAGCTAAGTAATTTGGTAATTTCCATCCTAAGATAGGACCTGTAGGGAGTTATAAAAGCCAAGAACAAGTCGGACAACACATGAACTGTTACAATAGATGGATGTTGTATACATACTCCTGTGGTCCTGGAATTGACACATAGAGCTAGGGTGACAATTAACTGTATCTGAAATAATGCCTCTCATCTATCTGTTAGCGTCTCTCATGTTGCTGCTCTCTGTTCTGTCTTTCTGTGCGCCGTTTGTTGTAGTTCCTGGTGTGTAAGCGCAAGCTGGAGAGTAAGAAAGAGGCCCTGCTCATTCTGTCCAAGGAGCTGGATACCTGTCAGCAGGAAAGAGACCAGTACAAGCTGATGGCCAACCAGCTGAGAGAGCTCCACCAGGCACTCAAGAAAAAGTACAGAGAACTCATTGTGAGTGGTTCAAACCTTCAAGGTGATGTCTATTTGTCCATGTGCACATTGTTGTCTTGTCTGTACAGCTTATTTGTTTACTAGCCCCCGATCAGTCAGTCAATTCAATGTTTAACAGTATGCATAATGTAATATAATAATTGTATTGTAACTCTTTTCTGTTTTAGGATGGTGACCCCTCTTTGCCACCAGAAAAACGCAACCAAGTAAGTTGTTGTTGATTTTACAGGACCTCGTTACTGCTCAGTATGCAAGTATTTGCCTTCTTTATGTTGCAGTGTAAATGTAATGGTGTGGTTCAATCAACTTGCTCTCTCCCTTTGTTATGTTGATTTAAAAAGGTGAGGATAACCTCTGGGACCTGTGTTCACATCAAATACAGGATCTCAGTGGGCAAACAACCTCATAATACCAAACAAATACAGATCACATGCTCACTTAGTGACACTGAATAAGTTTGTTCAGGTTGTCTATCTGCAGCTTGCAGACATGTCCCCTTCAGCACATAATTATGGTTAGGATAAATGTGAGGACGGGTGTTTCTTGTTGGGAGTCCTACAGGACTGTGCCTTGTGGTGCTTTCAAGGACGCTGTGACAAGCACAATGGAAGACTTGGCTGCTGAATTTCATTAGAAAAATGAGTCCTGCTTTTTAGAGGACGAACAACAACCATCAGTTTTGTGAGGATAATGCTGACACGCACATTACATCGCTTTTTATATACAGTAAATAATGTGATTCTTGAAAATTGGTTGTAGACAAACATAGTTGGCCAATTAAAATCTGCATATGATTTACAATGTGAATGAGAGAGTTTAGTTCTGATATTGATTATTTAGAATCATATTCTTCGTAGCTTATATATTTGCCAATATATATATTATAGAATACTGTATATTTGTTTATGTTTTGTTAATATTTCACATACACACACACACATTCAGTATCACAGTTATGTTTTGGCTATGATTTGGCTGATATCAAGACATCTTTGAAATAGTAATGTTGGTTGATGAGTGTTTATGAATTGATAATTGAGTTGAGACTGCTACAAGTGTAATGTAGCTACGAAATCAGCCGTGTGTTCTTGCTTAACATGTCTGATGTGATGATTCAAAAGCTGTTAATAAAAGCAGCTTCACAGTCATTTCTGTATGTTAACAATTGTTCCTGTGTGAATGTTTTCTTTAGCTGGAGAAGAAAGAAGTGGTAAACCTAATTGAATGTATTTAATCTGTCTCTCTTGTCCATGATGGATCAAGTGGTCTGTCACCAGCTGTCTTGCAACTGTAGGCCTTGTAGGATTTCTGTGTCTTTCTCCTTCACTTCATTCACCCCTCTTCTCCACCTTCTCCTCAGGTGAATCTAGCTCAGCTGTTGAGAGACTCGAGAGAACGAGCGAAACAGCTCACTGAGGAGTTGAAGGAGCTGACTCAGAGGCTTACGGAGGCCCAGGGAGATAACAAGGTGAGGCTACTACCCGTAGCAGCGAAACACACGAACTTAGACACAGTTTATGCGACCCCTCACTCAATCTAGCGCAGGAGCAGACGTGCTTGAGAGAAGCAGTGAATTGAACATGTTTTCCCTCTACAGCTCCTGAGGATGACCATTACTCGACAGAGGCTGGGGGATGAGGAGGTGGGAGCACGCCATTTCCCCGCCCATGAACGGGAGGATCTAGTTCACCAGCTAGAGAGAGCGGGGCTACAGGTTGATACATTTACATTTTATCTCTAAAAAAGCATCATCGAGAACCATCTAAACAAATTCGCACATGCGCATCCAAGACATTGACAGTTCAGTTTTGCTTTCTGCCTGTCAGAGGCAAAGATGAAAGGCTTTTATGTATTTTCATTAGCCTGATTTAACTGCGGGTACTTTTCCACGGGCCCAGGAACCCATTGGGACAAGGGACAAAATTGAGGTCCTCAGCCCTCGTATCAATTCGAACTAGAGGCAAACATTTCTTGAAGTGTTAATTAATGTTAAAAGCAAAGTCATGCTGTCAGATTCATGACTAGACTTAGAAGGAGAGAGTGAGAGAGAGAGAGAGAGAGAGAGAGAGAGAAAGAAAGTGCAAGTGCGAATGAGCTGAAGAGTAGGAGTGAGACAGAGAGGGGGAGTGGTAGTTGAAAGTGCTAGCAGGCAGTTCAAAAGAAACAAAACATACTTTGCTATTTGTTTCTTTGTTTTTTATGTTTGAAAGCAATAATGAAAACTCTGCCGGTCGACTATTTTAGTCTCCCTTTCCACCTTTTGCTTGTCTGGTTTCTATCAAGCCATTACATCCATTCAAACAGTCATGCCACAAAAAGCAACACAATGGCTGTGCTATATTGTTGTTTCCTGTTTTTTCTTATTCTGTTATAGGACTAATATGCCCTCTCTTTACAGTTCTTCACATCCAGTGGGAACACAAAAAACATTTTTTAATTCTTGGTTTGGTTCCTGAGTGTAGTTCCTGCTGCTCCATAGTTCCTTGAACTGTTTGGTTGAAAAGGAACTAATGAAAAATGCCCTCAGTAGTTACCAATACAATTCATGCACATTTTGCATTGGGAGTTAGAGGCATGCCTCACTTTCTGGAAATATTCTCACCCCACTACTACTATCACCTGCCATTATGAAGCTTACAGGTTCACTCTTTTTTTTTTTTTTTTTGAGGCAGTGGTGGTGTACTGGATTTTATTATTTTGATGAAACAGTACTTTCCCCTCCACCTGCTATTAAAGTGTTTGTGAACAAGGCACTTAACTTCTGTCTGCTCTGGTGGAGCCACTCACTCAGTTGAAAACAGTAGACGGGCTCCTACATCGCTCATTGCTAAAAAACGTGTATGCACTCTCAGCAAACTCTGCTTTGGTAAACAAAGCTTGAAAATATCTTTTACTCGTACAAACACATTTTGCCTCGTTAAATTTGTCTAGATGGAGGAGATGGAGCACAACATGAAAGCTCTGACAGATGAACTGCAGGACGTGAAGGCGGAGCGCAATGCGTTCAGGGAGAAAGCCTACCGGCTCAACGTGGAGCTCAACCATGTCTTGGGCAACCGGGAGGCACGCATTATTGATGTGGATGCCCTCTGCATGGAGAACAGGTAAGTGTGGCAAAGAAGCAGATACCTAGTACGCTGAGCTACCTCTAACGGTCACATTGTTTAAAGCCAGATACACTTGTAGTTTTCTAAGTCTCTAATCCAGTTTCTGGAGAGGCTGTGTATTTTCTACAAGCTGCTCTCTCTCAAGTTCTCTCTTTCTCTCCTTTCCTCCCATTCCGTGCTAAAACGGGATGTAAACAAATCTTTGTTGAAAAATCATTCTGCTGGGGGAATACAGGAAAAAATAAAATATCTTTGAGTATAAGAATAAAAACTTAACCATATTATAGAATTACAAAGACATTTTACTTTGTCCTGTTTACTCATTCTTATGTCACTGAGCTCTGATTAATCAAACAATGTGTCAGTGTCTTGTGGAGCCATTTTACACTTCAAATTTCATACTAAATATTAGGACAACAAAATACATTATGTATACATATATACCATGTGGTACCCTTTGTGGACTAGTTGCACCTTTTGCTTCACCAGTAACCATCAAAAACATCACATGTGTACATTTACTGTACTTTTTGATATTGTTAAGTAAGAGAGGGGAATATAAATATATATATATA